TAAAATAATCTATTTTCTTGATTCTAAAATCAGATAAAAGAACAATGTCATTTTAAAACTATTATGTATAATTTTTTTTTTACAGGAAGCATTAGATAATAATTATTTCAGAGAACAAAATACTTGAAAAGGATATTTATAGATGATTAAATTGCATTTTTACTACAATCTTATACATAACTGATCCATAAAATTTAAAGTATACTTTATGTTTGAATTTCTCTTACTGGTTATCATGGTTTTGATTTATATCCTTTTGTACAGTAATAAATAAAAATTTTCGTATTGAAATGTGATTTGAATTATATGTTTCTGGATGTGGTTTTTAATCATGTTGTCCGAAACTTTTTATAAATTTCCGTAATAACAAATATTTATGTCTTGCTTTTTTTATATTTTATAGGAGAATCTATTACTTTGTGACAAAAATCTGTTGATGCTTTCCATTTTAGCTTTTTTCTCTGAATGCAAAACTGGTCTAAATAAATCTGTTTTATTGTCATGCTTTGCAGCGAAATAAAATATAATCTGATTTTAAAATACGCAAGTTTTTGGAAAATTACATTTTTTCTTTGATAATAATAAAAGATAATCTAAGCATTTTACTTTAAATTTTTAAATAATAAATATTTTAATCCCTAAGGGTAGCAAAAAAACATTTATGTAAATAAAATCTATTATTACTGATTTTACTAAGTTTATGTAAATTTATTTTTTATTACTTTTCTTTTTCTTTTTATTATCTATGCAGTTTTTTCCTGAAAAAAATTTGATTCTTCTTCCGTTTTTCTATTAATGTTAGTCAAAAATGATTATTCAAAGGAAATTTGTTTTCTTTTCAAAATAGAGTTTTTTCCTTATTTTAATTTCTATTGGAGGCTTTGTATAAACCACTTCAGTTTATCAAATTCAGTAAATTATTGAAGATGTTGTTTCATATTGATTATAAAAAAATGCTATTTTTATAAATTCATTCTACTTAAAAATTTCTATCTTAATTAAATATAACACAATTCTCTTGATATCTTTTGTTCGTGAAAATCAAAGCAATAAAAATAATTCTTTTGAAGAAAAGGATTATAAAGAAGTAGTAAAAAAGAGAAAAATGATGTCAATTCCAAAAGTTTATGCTTAGAAAATCAGTTTAAGACATATTGAATTATTTTAAGAACAAGAAAGATTTTTTAAATAAGTTTCTGAAGTTCAGATATTTTTACGGAACATGTAGTATTATGGGGAATTTTTTTTAATAAACTGTTTCAATAATTTTTTTTATGTTTACTGTACAAGTAAAAAGTTTTTCCAAAAAAATTAACATACTTACCGATTATTAAAATAGTTTTATGACTTTTTGAATAATCTTTTTTTTATATAAAATATTTTTATATATGTTTTAATAATAATTGTTTGTGAGAGTATAGTAATAATAGTTTTTAGTAAGAATAATCTAATATGTTTCTGTGTTCATCAAATATTTTGCGTTTTTAATTATTATAAAGTATAAATGTTTTTTACTTATTTCAGTAATAACTTTCCAAAATGTTCCTCATTGGTTTTAAGAATCGGGTGAAGAAATATACGTAAGATTTTTATTTCTTTTTCAATATAGATATTTATAACAAAATTCGGGAAGCAATTTATGTATAACATATTTTTTTATATCATAATGGATCTGCATATAATATAGTCAACCGAAACTCATAATCACATAGTAAAACCATCAATATGCAAAGAAGTAGCAATCAGCATTTGTTAATATTCACATAAAAAGTCACATCGGTATTCAACTGAGAATTATTTTTTCAACCTTCGTTAAATAACATTTATAAATGATATTTGTTTATTTTTACTGTTTAATATTGCTCTATGTTATTATTATGTTTTTTCATTTAAATTTAGAAAGTAAACTAGAAGTTTTTTAGAAGTTCCTTTAGAAGTTCCTTAATTATATTATAAAGCAATATGCTAAAACAACACATTTTACTATATTGCTTTATTATACAACTTCTTATGGCAAAACTACGATTTGTTTATAGAGAAGAAATTTTTATATAGTGAATAAATACTAAATGTTATTTGCTTTCATAAATTTTATCTTAGATTCGAACCCAGTTCACTTCATCAGAAAACGTGCACTCTATCCCCTGAGTCACCACGGCGCTGCTTTGATAAGTTGTAAATCAAACTGTTCATAATAGATCTCTTATTTGCAAGGAAACAATCTTGCAAAGTAACATATTAAATTAGATTTGTATTTACCGAAAAACTATATTTAAACAGCCCATATTAAAGAAGCAATAGAGCGAACAAATTGGGAATTTTTATTTTTTTAACTTTTTGAAAAGATCGAAGATCTTAAAAATGATTTAATGTTAAAATATGTGAGACAAATTTTCTAAAAATACACAAATTTGTCCAAAAGTGATCAAAGAATGTCTTTAAATGAGATTTGCTTTTACCGAAACACAATATTTCCACAGTATACATTAAGGAAGCAATAGAGTGGGCACTTTGCGATTTTTTTTAAAATTTTCTTACAAGAGCGAATATCTTGAAACTTGGTTTAATATAAAAATATGCACCTCAAATTTTCTGAAAATGCCCATATTTGTTCAAAGAGCTTAAAGAATGTCTTGAAATGAAATTTGTTTCAACAAAACATATTTCTAAAGTCAATATTAAAAGAGCAATAGAGCGGGGTTTTTTGTGAATTTTTAAAAAAATTTTGAAATGAGCGAATCTCTGAAAACAATATGCTAAATTGTCCGAACGTAATTTGTCCAAAATTCTCCAAGAATGTCTTTAAATAAGATTTTTTTACCAAAATATTATATTTTCCCAGTTCATATTAAAGGAACAACAGAGCTGACAATTTGCGATTTTTTTTAAAATTTTTTAAAAAGAGTGAATCTCTTAAAACTAGTTACAGTTTAAAATATGTGTGTCAAATTTTTTGAAAATACCCATATTTGTCCAAAAGTGCTCAAATAATGTCATTAAATGAGATTTGTCTTTACCAAAACATGATATTTCCACAGTATACATTAAAGAAGCAATAGAGAGGACAATTTGGGATTTTTTTAACATTTTCTTATAAGAGCGAATCTCTTAAAACGGGTTTCATATAAAAATATGTACGTCAAACTTCTAAAAATGCCCATATTTCTCCAAAGTGCTCAAATAATGTCTTTAAATGAGATTCGTTTCACCAAAACATATTTCCACAGCAATAAAGGGGACATTTGATGAATTTTTTTAAATTTTTTGAAAAGAACGAATCTCTTTAAATTGGTTTCAGTTAAAAATATGTGAGTCAAAATTTCTGAAAATACCCATATTTGTCCAAAATTGCTGACAGAATGTCTTTAAATTATATTTTTTTAAACCAAAATAAGATATTTCCCCAGTCCATATTAAAAAAGCGATATAGCGGACAGTTTGTGAATTTTTTTGAATTTTTTTAGCATAGCGAATCTCTTAAAACTCTTTTCAGTTTAAAATATGTGAGTTAAATTTTCTGAAAACACCCATATTTGTCCAAAAGTACTCAAAGACTGTCTTTGAATGAGATTTTTTTTACCAAAATATGATATTTGCCCTGCCCATATTAAACAAACAACAGAGGGGACAGTTTGTGATTTTTCAAAAAAAAATTTTGAAGGAAACGAAACTTTTGAAATTGATTTCAGTTCAAAATATGTGAGTAAAATTTTCTGAAAATTCCCATATTTCTCCACAAGTGCTCAAAAAATGTCTTTAAATGAGATTTTTTTTTATCAAAACATGATATTTCCACAGTCCATATTAAAGAAGCAATAGAGGGAACATTTTAAGTATTTTTTCAAATTTTTTTGTAAAAGCGAAACTCTTGAAACTGGTTTCATGCCTAAACATATGCGTAAAATTTTTCTGAAAATGCCCATATTTGTCAAAAAGTGCTCAAAGAATACTTTTAAAAGAGATTTTATTTTATAAAAACATGATTTGACCACAGTCCATATTAAAGAAGCAATAGAGCGGACACTTTGCGAATTTTTTTAAATTTATTTTAAAAGAGTGCAATTTTCAAAACTGGTTTCATGCTAAAATGTGTGCGACAATGTGTTCTGGGTTCGAATCCTGGGCAAGGCATGGATGTTTCTTTCTCTCTATCTGTGTTCGATGTCCATTCTCCTTTCCGCCCTATAAGCGGGTTGTGGTAGTGTGACGTGGGCGACGCTGCTCCACCGCCGTGGCTTCGCCACAGGTGCCCACTGGGTAACGAAAAGAGAGTTAGCAGTTCTGGCACTTTCTGTGGCCAATGGACAATAGATCCAAGTGCCCACCATTAAAAGAAAAAAAAATCAAAAAATTCCCATATTTGTCCAAAAGTGCTCAATAAATGTCTTCAAATGAGATTTATTTTTTACCAAAGCATGTTATTTCCACAGTATACTTTAAAGAAGGAATAGCGCGGGCGCTTTGTGAATTTTTAACTTTTTTTTAATAACAGAGAATCTCTGAAATCTAGTTTCACGTCAAACTTATTAAAAATATCATTAACTATTAAAAATGTCAATAATTTTTTTCCTCCGAAATATGATATTTCCCCAGTCCATATTAAAGAAAAAAAAGTAGCTTCCACCATACTTTAATTAGTAACACTAAAATCTATAAAAACAGTAATACATTAAAAATTTCAGTGCAGTAAGCAGAGAATCAGTAAAGTACATAAGAATCAGTAAAGTGACTTTTGTGATACAGTATGAAGCAAGAATCGTCTGTTTAGGATATATATATACAATGTTTTTTTTAAAAATAATATTAGTTTGTAAACCAAACATACGCGTAGTACAGAGAATATGAATTTAAATTAGGCTCAACAATACCGAAACAGATAGACGGTAAGTATTATAAAATAATTTAAAACTGTTCATCTATAATTAAAAACTAAAATGTAATTAGCCTTACTACACAACTAAAGAGCTGCATGCATATTTAACGGCAAACTTTTGTTTCAGTAGACATTGTGTAGCGGCAGCGATAGCTCTCTCTAAATCTTACTGGATGCAAACTGTTCACAAAATCTTTGGGTGTTGATGTTTGTGCTTTTAGAAGCCAAAAAAGAAGAAGAAAAAAATAGTTCATTTATTGAGTGAATCTTTTTTCCACTAAGTTAAATCTTTTCCCTCTCTGGGTATTTAGATACTAACTACACTCTTTAAATTTTATATAAAAGCTCAATTTGTGATTAATTGAAAATTAAGTGTTCCTTTTACCCAATTTTTTGAGTAGTTCACAGTCAAATTTGAAGAGACATTACACAACAATTTTAACAATGTGGCTCCATGTGCCCGCAGTTCTGTTGAACAACTGTGAAGCTCAAAAATGGTTATTAGATCTTAGTACTTTACTTAGTACTTACTTTAGTTTTAAGAAAATCCACTAAATTGTTTCAAGTGACCAAAAAAAAAAAGTTGCTAATATGAATCACCTTGGAGATGTTACAAAAGCAGTGCTTAGAAGATAGTGAAAAATACATAAAAAATATTTATTTTTCCTAATAGTTTACGCTTTTACTCTCAGTAAAACAAAAACAACAGTATGCAGTTTGCTCTGGGTCGAAGGTTACGACGGCGAAACTGCACGAATTAGTCTTTTAATTACTAACCAACCCACTGTATATCCAGATATGGCCTTTTGGACTGTGACAAACAAAAATGGTTTTTTTTTCTATCTAGGGAAAAATATACAAATTACGAGGTCATATTGGAGATAAAAAGTTTACTTGCAGATCTCGAGAATTTGTTCTAAAAGAATGACATCAAAATATTGGAATGAATAAATCGCTCATAAAGGAGATTATGTTGATAAACAAAATCAAATTTTTTTATCTATTTTTTTGTAAAAAAAACATATTTGAAAAAAATATGTTAAAAAAAATATTAGTAATAAAATAAATGCTTTCAAAATATGTAAAAAATATATCAGTAGTGAGACTGGGGTCTTATAGTCGATATGGTTTGTTCATCTTATTTTTCTTATTAAATTTTGGAGGTTAGAAGAATTGGATAAGAATTTTATCTAGCATTTATTTCTAAAGCTGAACTCCCGATACTTAATTGAAATTGGATACTATCAATAATATAATCCCTAATTTGCCTATAAATGTAAGCTTTAATCAAGTTTCAAATCTTTTACTTTTTTAAAAATAAAACGGAAATGTTAAAAGAAAAATATTTCAAAAGACATCCAATTTTCACATTTGTTCAAACATACTTAAAAGTAAATTTCTTAAAGTCAACATGCCGATGATCAAAAACTATCGAAAAATTATCTTCTTTTGGCTTGCCAAATGAGTAAATCAATAAAAAAAAATATTTTCATAGAAAGGATTTAGATATCTTTGATTTAAAAATAATGAGAAGCTGAACACACTTGATTAACATTGACACGAAAAAGGAAACACAGAAGTAAAATATGTGATTTTGAGATTGCAAGAGTCTAACAATATTGATTTTGATCTCAACTTTTTACATCTAAAGTTCATTATTCCTATAAAAAATTTGGAACCAGATTCTAATTTTAGTATAACCAATAAAGTTCCTTTTTCGTTTCTTAGATTCTTTTAATGTCACTTCTTTTATTTAAATGTAACAAAGCAATTCGAGTAGACAGTCTTAAAAAAAGGAAGTATTGGATTTCTTTAGAAAACTATAATTTCATGCTACTTTTCGATAATCTAATTTTTTGAGTCTCTGAAAATCTAGATTCAAGAAGTTTATTGCTTAACAATTGCATGTAATGGAGAGTATGGGACTTCGGAACATTTTGCGTTGGTGATTAGGTTGAGAACGTAAAAGAATAGAAAAGTACTGAAATATTTTTTACTAGATATACAAATAATGAATTATATTACTATAGTGAATAAATATTACACTAGTGAATTATATTTGTAATATACTGAACTATCTTGTACCAAATGTTACAAAGTTTAAAGATTAATGACTCAAAATATTAACCTTAAATATGCTAAATAATTAATGCCAACTGTTATTGTTAATTAATATTGCTAAGTTATGAAAAACAATGCAAAAAATGTATTTTCACAGGATAAATATACCATTTTTTTTATACAATTTTGAAATTCTGTCAACAGAAATACAGGGTGAGAGAATAAGTAAGTCCAGAAATATGATTCTAACAGTTTAGTCAAGAGAGCGTTGGAAAATTTGATAGTTAACTAAATTTTGCTTTTTTTTCATATTCTGTTACATCACGTGTAATTTTAAGCGAATTAAAAAGATTGGGATCATATTTTTAAGGCTTATTTATCTAAAGGCATTGCCATGTAACGAAATCATTAGTAATTTCTTATTATTTTATGAAGTGATGTGCGAAAAATATTGAAAAGTTTGAATTTATAGGAAATAACATACATCTTAAAATCATTTTAAGCAGTGCACTTTAAAAGTCAAAGTGCAAACTTTGAATGAAATTGGTTATATAGCTTCTGAGTTACAACAGTTTGAAGAAAAATAGCATATTTGAATTTTCCTTTTTCCTTATATTTCGATAAAAAAATCATTATTGTGGACACAGATGTGTTGTTTCCCTTTCAAAGTTTCCGATACAAGATAAGTTAAAAACAAAGTTGTTATTAAGTAATCCAAAACTTTGACCTCTATTATGGCTAACCAATTGCGTTCGTATTTCGATATTATGTTTTCCTCCCATATTCTGATGATTGAATTTTTACTGATATAGATAAAGGGTATGTTTATACAGATAAAATAAGTAGTTCCATATTTTTAAATAAATTAATCGTAGGCTTAAACTTGTTCGCATATTTAAGATAAACCATTCAAATCATTATAATTAACCTTTCTGACATGAAATTCTAACATTTAATAGCATAACATTTTGTATAGTATACGTTATCCAGATTTATTCCTCATCGTCGCATCGCACAGTAAAAAATTTTTTCATCCGTTTAGCATTATACATTATTGCGATTAATACAGATTTTTCTAACGATTTCAAAGATAAAATCTATGTATTTTGCCAGCTTACAGCTCATGAAAAATGAGTTTCATTCGGAATTTATGGCTCACATTTATTTTTTATTTATCTTCCGTTTCCTACATTAGGTTAGAAAAAACACGCATATTCAAGACTTGTGGATTTGGTGCAACTTAAAAAAGTATTTTGAAGAGCATGTAAAACGCCCATCTCTTCTGTTGATTCTCAAACTATTAAGGGTTGAATCTATTAAATTAAATCCTATATTGGATGACAATTCATCAAGAATATTACAATTTGATGGAAATTTTACATAGTACGGATGAATAAAAATATGTATTGAAAACTTTTATTTTCGTAATTATTAACGTGTTTTTCTTCATTTTGATAAATCTATTATAAATGTAAAGTCACCGGAAAGGTAAAAAAATTCCGGTATTATACTAAGGGAAAATTCAGTGCTGTATTTTTTAGTAGGGCAAAACAAAAGTAATTTTTGTGCTGTGGTTTTATTTCATAAAAAAAATAATTAAAATAAGATGCGTCATTAATAACAATTTATGAGAATTGCAATTATGTTTGTGATGAATATCAACCTTATTGAAATTGTTTTGCCAATGTTATAAATTTAAATATATGTCAAATCAGCTAAAAAAATATTTGGAAAATTTAAATATTCGATTGAAGATTTTTATTTTATACCCAAGTGTATAACGATTTGTTTTTGCGATCTATTTAAAATTTTCCCATTTTGTAATCAGCAGTAAAAATAATTTTAAAATACATAAGAAGATGAAAATATTTTGAGTCTTACATTAATAATATAATTTTCTGAATCTTTTTTCCAAAAATATATTTTAAAAATGACATGGCGTAATTCATGTAACATTTAAGTTCTCAAAAGAAAATTATTTGCAAAAAAAAAAGGTTCAAATGTAAAATTCAACAAACTATTTTATTTCTTTAAACTGAAGTTATAACTTCGGAAAAAAGATATCATAACCACTTTAATGGTGGAGAAGATATTCTTATTCGTTTTAAAGGAGTGAAAGAAAACTTTAAGGTTTTGTTTAAATATCTAATTATATATATATATTTTTTTTTGCATTCAGATATTTCGAATTTATAACTTAAATATAGTTTCTCTCATTCTTCTCATAAAGTTAACACCGCGTAATTAGCAATTAAGGGCTTAAATGGCCACTTTGTTATTTGAGTCTCATTTTTGCTAAGAGATTTTTTAAAAAGAGGTTCGTAAATAATATTAAATTACTATTCCCCATTTCTAAGTGAATAATTTTTTTTAAAAAATGAGTCCTAATTAAGAGAAGTTTCTTTCTTATTTATTTTTTAAATGACGCAAGTTTTAGAATTAGTGTTCATCATCTGAGATAAAGAGAAATAATAGTTAGAAGATAATTTCTTGTGATTTAAGCCCTTTTAATTACTTTACTTACGCTTATCTTATAAAAATCCACAGAAAAATAAATTATTTTAACTTCAAAGAAGCTTTTTTCCATAAATCTTTTAGCATGGTGGCAATGATTTTATTTCATTCTTGACATTAGTTTCTTACAATTGAGAAATCTCTGCCAAACTAAGAACATCAAAATATGATCGAAAATTATTCAGCACATTTCTTACTTACTCTTCGTATTTTGGATTTCATAGTCGCTCAAGAACGCGTTGCGGAAAGTTATACACCGAAGAGCTATTACATTATGACCACTCTCCATCTATAACAATGGGCTCGCCCAGGTTTTCATGCTTTCTCGCCCAGGAACAATGTTTTCATGGGGCACATTAGGTCCCATAATCCTCATAGAAAAAGCCCAGACGTCTGTAAGCTACTTCATAGTTGCAGACCAGGTTCACCCATTCATGGCAACAGTTTTTCCTGCGGGGGATGGTGTTTACCAACAGGATAATGCACCATGTCATAAGGGTCGAATTGTTGAGGAACATTCCAGTGACTTTAAAGTCATGTCTTGACCCCCAAATTCGCCTGACCTTAATCCAATAGAACATTTGTGGTCCTACTTGGAAAATCAAATTCATGCTACCACGCCACCCCCTCGCAATGTGAGGGAATTGCAGGACCAGTTGGTGAGCGCTTGGTGCCAGATACCTCAAACTACCTATCAGCACCTTGTGGAATCAATGCCACGGCGAGTGCTAGCAGTTTAGAGGGCTAAAGGTGGTCCTACTGGCTATTATCAGGGGGGTCATGATGTAATTGCTCTTCGGTGTATATATAAAATTAAAAAAAAACATGCCCTTTTTTAATCAGTTGTTATTCTACTTAAGAAATGAACGTTATTTGAATAAATTTCATAATGAATTGGATTAAATATTGAGGCCAGGTAGGTAGGTAAGTAGGTATTTTATTAACGTTGCACTAGAGATGCACAATGGGCTATTGGCGGTGGTCTGAGAAACATCCCTGAGGATGATCCGAGGACCTGCCGTCGCAGTTTTGATAATCTGCAGAGGTGACTGCTGCCCTGTTTTGTTAGCCAAACGACCTACACACGAAGTCGAGCACCTTAAGGTAGAACACTTTAACGAGGACCGATACAGCGCACCATAGATCCCTACGCCAGGCTGATCAAAGTGATCACCTACCCGCACCCAGACCGTAGCCAGTGATTCTTGACTTCGGTATTCTACTGGGAACCGCGTCTTTGCGATCAATCCACAGTGGGGCAAATATTGAGGGCAAGAGTTATAGTTTGGCGGTATTGCAAAATAACACTTGAACTAAACAGATTGTTATATTTAAACTAAATATACAGATAACGGTTGAACGAAAATAATCTTAGAGGGCTATTGCCTCCATTTCCTAAGTATTTTTCTATAGGAATATTTTAATCAAACAAAGCATATAGCTTTTTTCCCAGGGTTAGTACACATCTTCATTTCAATGCGAGTAATAGCTAAGAAAATCAGTAATGAACTTACGTAGGCTTTTCTCTGGCTCCTTTAAGTGAAAATTTGTTCCTTATAGTTACTTAGAGTGTGTTTGTTTTTATTTACTTTGCAATTTAAGGTATGAGTAATTGATATTCATTATTTAAATAAATGATTCCTTTTGCAGATTGCCTAATCCTTATTTTGAAGTTTATAAATCCAAACCAGCCTAAACATAAAAAATATTGCTTATTCTGGGTTAAAAGTTTTTGTATTTCATTGTGAGATTTTACTAATGAGTTTGCATATTTTAGTTAGATGTATCTCTGCCCCATCTAAGTTGAAATTCTGTTAGAAAATTTCTGATTGTTCTTTTTTTATTTAATTTATTTCGCAACTTTTACTAAATAAAAAATCTCGTTTACGTAATTCCTGTTAAAGATACACTTCACAAATTGTCAAATCTATACTTTCAGAATTTACTTCGATTTTTTTTATAGTTCCGAATTCCTATTCATACTTCCGACCATATCTATAACTTAGTTTATCCATGGTTAGTACACTTGAATATCAGTAGAGAAAAACTGCTTACCCCTATTTTTTACCAGAATGACGCCAATATCGCCAACTGTGGCATTTGTTTTGGCATTTGTTAACTAAGTTTTGACACATTAATGACGAAGACAACCAGTTCTTCCTGAAAGTTCAAATGCACGTGGGAAAAAACGGTTCCGACAAAACCGGTTCCTAATGGTAACGTGGGCATGACGAGAAGAAACGATTCATATCCTCGCGTTTACAATAGAAAATCTAAGACGATTATAATTTAGAAGATGACTGCAATACTAATGAAGAAGTATTGATTGGGGTGGAATTATGAATACAAAAAGTATTCCTGTCAAACGCGATTTAAATTTTTTTTCCAACATAAAGTAATAGTAAATGTACTTTTTAAGTTTAAAATTTTTAGGGGGAGTAAATAACTATTTATGAAAGGCAGTATTTTTTTATTTTATGAATTAAAGGGAATTTCGGGACATTTAAATTTGCTTTTCTTAGAATTTAGTTTTTCCGCCTGATTGTCAGATTGCTTTTCGGGAGATAATATAAAATATTTATTACTGAAATAGTGCATTTTTGTCAGATTTCGCGCTCTTATAGAATAAAAATCCGGTACTTGGAAAAATTTTTTAGGGTGTATATTTTTCATTTTTCATTAAATTTGTTCACTGTTCACAATTTTAAGTAAAAAAAAGTATTCCCATTTGCGCTTGAGTTAAAGATTTCTTAAGAAAAAATATCTGAATCATGTGGTATGGATAAAACTGACTTAGTGAAGCAGTTTTGGGTAAGGAAAAGAATCTAAATTCCGTGTCATTTAGTTTTACTTCAGGCGAAATGGATATTATACATCAAATGGATAAAGTGAAATAAAATAGGAAGTGCGTTAAATTACTCTTACCTAGGAGATTCGGAAGTAATGATTTTTATTCAAATATTCTCCCTTCTTTTCCACCTATTTTTTTGCAATTCAATTCTTTCTAAATTTATTTTCGGTTATTTAGAAAACTTTAAGAAAAATCTAAAGTTTTCCAGGTTTTTGAAGAAGAAAAAAATTATTTAAATTATAGATTTCTTTTAAAACTGTTCCATTTCTTATGTATTATTATTATTAATTGTCTTTTTTGGTGAACTTAATATAGATTGAGCAAGCCTCGTTTTTTAAGTTCATTACATCATAACAAAGATTTACTGTATTCAGTGTCATAGGTTGTTGCTCAAATAAAACTCATGGTAATCAAAATTTACAGTAATTAAGTATTTTTTTTGGTACACACACTTCTCGAGTGGGGCATAGCCTATCAACAACCACTATAACTATATTAAGGGGTCCTAAAGTTTTTGCAGCTTAAAATAATTAGACTATATTTTACAGATTGCAAATGTTCTCTAGATTTTGAGGTACAAAAAATCTAATCTGTCCATCAAAAAGTAGGCTTACTCATTGAAAGTGCATTTTTGTGCCAGATTTTTTAACGTGAAATATCGTTCGCATTAATAAGTATAGATTAGGTTTGGCTCTCGAACAACTAAATTTAAGTTCTACGCAAGTTCTACGCAAGTATTGTTAAAATTACCAGAACACGTCCAAAATTTTCCATGTTACATGCTTAATGGGAACATCGAAACGCTTGGTAATTTTCGCTTAAGCTTCTATGTAATGATTTCAATCAAAATAACCATAAATTATGGTACAATATCTGACAAAATTTGCTAAATATAGTAAAAATTTGCTAATTTTATCATGATATCTTTGAACATGGAATGAAAACAATTTATTCGTTTAAATTTAACTTCAGGTCATGTAATTTTTACTAAATGTGTGATAGCCAGCAATGTGTTTACCAGAGCTTCCGGTAAACCATTACCATATCAATCA